TCCGTTTCGCATCCCGCTTGCGCAAGGCGGCGTACCGCAACTACAAAGGCGGCCCGCCCGAGTACAGCAACCCCATCAAGAGGCCGCCTGGCACTGACAGCGACGACCACATTGTCGCGCACTTCGACGACGGCGCAGAGTACGTCGTGCCTGGCGGGGGGGCGGGGGCGCGACGATTGTGGATGTGGATGTGGATAGGGGCTGGTAGGGTCGGGCGGCGGGGTGGGGGGTGGTGTGTGTGTGTGTGTGTGTGTGTGTGTGTGTGTGTGTGTGTGTGTGTGTGTGTTGTAGGGGTGGGGGGGGGGGGGAATCTGATAGTGCATTCAGAGATATAGATAGTGTGAGGATAGCTATAAGGAGGGATAGAGAGAGGGCGATAGAGAGAGAGATAGAGAGGGATAGAGAGAGATAGAGAGAGAGATAGAAAGAGAAGATATAGAGAGAGACAGAGAGAGAGCGAGAGAGAGAGAGGGATATAGAGAGAGAGAGAGAGAGAGATCTGGAGAGATGGGGCTCAGCCGAAATGTCACCGCGCGGCGGAGGAGGGCGCATCCGACCTGTCGTTGAGTATTGGTATTAGTATGGGCTGGAGAGGTCGGGCTTGAGGAGGGGTTGACGGGGTGAGTGGAGTGCGGGGGGGGGTCGTGATGTAGTCTCTGTCTACAGATACGGAGCGCAGCCGAAATGTCGCCGATGGGGAGCGCGGCTGAAATGTCGCGACCGCTCCGCCCTCCACTCACCCCGTGACCCCCCTCCAACACGACCTTTTGAAGCACAATCCTATTGGGTGATCACTCGCTCCTCGATCGCCCCACTCCATCCTTTTGCAATGCCCCTCTCTCCACCCGCCCCGCATCGATCAATCCACCCCATCTGTTTACGTGTTTCCTCCGTTTATCTTTTCCCTCGTTGAGTGCATGCATGGTCGGGGGGGGGGGGGGGGGGGGGGGGGGGGGGCGCGCGCCTCGCCAGGCATCGCGTGGAAGAAGTGGGAGGACATGGGCCTCGACAAGCGGCAGGGCAAGCCCGCCGAGAAGACGTTTTGGAAGGGCGATACGATCGACGGCAACAAGGTCACCCCCGATGAGAAGACACGGAGGGTGAAGTGGATGAGGAGTGAATGGGGGATTGATGTGCAGGCACGGTTGGGAGGATATGGGTGAACGGGGGTCGGGGCGACGCGGGCGCACGGGGCCCCGTGGATGGGGGGGGGGCAGGACAGCGGGGGGCGACAGCGAGAAATCGCGGCACGTGCAGAGGGTAGCAGGGTGCGGAGTGGAGCTAGACATGTTCGGGGTGAGCTAGAGATATGTTTGAAGGGGCGATCGTGAGTCAAGGAGTGAGGTGACTGCGCTGCGGTACCACAGGGAGCACAAGGCCACGGGCGTGCGAACAGAGTTTCTCGCCATCTTCGAGGCAACCGACTCTGGTAAGCGTCCAGGTATGATATGTAACATGACTGTGGTTGATGTGGCGAATATGGCTGCAGATATACAGTGGATCAGCACGCTTGCAGAGAAGTACGCAGCAGGGCACATTGACAAGGACGAACTGACGGCACAGAAAAACATCTACTTCGGCAAGGCAAAGAGAGCATATGCCAAACCAACGGGACCCGTTGCAAAACGTCCAGCTGGCAGGCCGCCGTCCAAGAAGGCGGCTGAGGATGACGAGGACAAGCCCGACGAGCTAGATCTGATGAGCAAGGAACATGAAGAGGGCGACGACGACAAAGAAGATGAGGAGGGCGACGACGATCCCGAAGATGAAGACGATGATAACGAGGAGAACGAGTACACCGAGGATGACGAGCAGCCACTGAAGCCGACGCTGAAGCGTGGGAAGCCAGCAGGGAAGGAGGCGGGTGAGCCTGCAACGAAGGCGGCCAAGGTGGTGCCACGTACTTACCCGCCCTTCCTGCCCCCCACCCCCCGCCCCTGAGAAGCTCGCTGGGGCGCCAATGTGAGGACTGAGTTCCGAGTGTTGAGCGGGGGCTTGAATGAGGTGGTGGAGGTGAACTGAGGGTGGTAAGTTGAGTGTGGTGGAGGGGTTATGAGGCATGTGGGGATGGGGGGGTGGGATGGATGGATGTAGGCATGGGTGACCGTGCATGGGGCACGTGTGGATCTGGGGCGGTAAATATTGAAGGGGATGGTGTCAGGACTGCGGGGTGGAATGGGCGATCGCCAGGTGGTCAAGCCGAAGCTCGCTCTGCGGCCCAAGCCCGCCGCCTTCGAGAGCTCCGAGGCGATCGCGCCCAAGGCGAAGGCGAAGGCCAAGCCGAAGCGCAAGCCCACGCCCGCAACCGCCGAGAGCGATGAGGCGGGCGGGAGGGGGGGTGATGTGGAGGGACGCGGCTGCGTTGGTGGTAAGATCTGATGGTGAGACGCGGGCAGTGGGGATGCACGGGAGAGGCGGAGCGGTGGGTTGGTGGGGGTGGAATGAGCGACGGGATGTAGTGACCGATCGACGGGTTAGTGGCGGCGCGGGTGCATCGAGGGATGAGTCTAGTATTGGTGTGTTGACCTGAGTGGCATCGCATGTGCATGTTTCCATGTCTGATTCACCCAGCCGCCCGTCATCCCGAGTGGCCTCGGCACGCCCCGCCGATAAGAGCGCGCGTCTGAAGGGCGGTGCCGCGTTCTTCTCGGCTGGGCTTGCGCCCGTGCGTCCACGGTCCGCCCTGTCCACTCTCGCCCCTCCCACCCGCGCTTGAGCCCGTTCGACTCGTCCACCCGCCCCTCGACCGATCCACTCGCGCATCTCACCGCGCCATCCCAGGACGAGAGCGCGGCCGACATCGCGAAGGTGATCGAGAACGTCCCGCCGGGCGACGTTGCAGCTGGCACAGGCTAGCATCGGGGGTTCGCATTCGCTCCTCGCCTGCCTCCTCGCCGACAGAGATATTGCGAGTCGGGTAGAGGATGCAGCGTGCGCGGGGTGGGGGAGCGGGCATCTGCCTGGATATGCGTAGGGCGATGGGTGGAGGGTAGATGGATGGATGACGGGATGAACGAGTGGGTGGATGGGGCGGAATGCAGGGGTGAACGGTGAAGGGGATGATTGTGCGCAGGGGGCGGCGGGTCATGATAGGTCGATGCGGGGCATGACCATCACTGCGATGAAAACGACAGATGCGACGTGTAAGACGATGCACTCAGAAAGGTGTGTAAGATGAGGATAGCATCAGATGCGGCGCCCACCCCCGTCCGCCAGAGGCCGCGCGTCGGTCGGGGCGGCCTCGTCCGACGTGATCCCCGACATGTGCACGGACTACGCGTGGTGATGCTCCTCGCGGCGCCATGGTGGGAGCGGGTGCGCGGGTCGGTCGGCCGATGCATGGGGGGCAGTTGGATGGTGAGAGGGCGGAGGGGTGGCTAGCACGTGTTATGACATGACGTCATGGGTGGATGGGCGGGGCAGGATACAGGCTGGAGAGAGGCGGGTGGGCGCACACCTTCGTTTCTGTAAGTTCGGTGCGGGGCGCAGCGACAGTGCTGCCAGCTTGGCCCCGACGTCAGACGCCTGCGGGGCCGCCAGGCCGACTGGCGCGACTCCGCGAGCTCGCACTTGCGAAAAGTAACTCGGCACTCACGGCCGCTCGCTGGGCGTGTGAGGTCATGTAAGCCACCCGCGCGAGGTGCTGTGCACCCGTCGTGCGATGTGTCATGTGAGCCACCCGCGCGAGGTGATGTACACCCGCCCGCGTGGCACCCGTGAGAGAGGTTACGCCTGGCATCCCATTGTGCTGCGTGTGATTCCCGACGCTTCGCGCACCCCGACGCTTCGCGCATCCCCGTCGGCCCGATCAGAAACGATGCCCGCGACAGTTGCCTGGGGGTGGCAATTTGGTGAACTTGCAACAATGGTCGAGTGTCGCAGCATCGGTGAAACCCGACGGCTGGCAATCCGTGACCGTCTCGCACCGTCCTCGCGCCGCATCGGGCAACGTCAGCGGCCGCTGAATTTGCCCGATGCGCGCGTGTGTCCGCCAACTACCATATTAGTGATGTTTGTGTATGGGGGGGGGCGGGGGGCGGGCGTGCGCGCGTTCGCGTGGCGTGGGCGCTTCGCCGCGGTGAAGTCAGCCGTCGGGCGATATTGGGGCAGCACGGGCCTTCGACATTCACTTATCCGCTGGGATGGGAATGCGGGGGGGGGGGGAGGGGAGATGGGGTGCTCGCTACAACGCGCGCGCCCATAATCCCACCAGCCCTCTGAGCGTCGGTGGTTTAGCGCGTTTCATCTTCCACGCATTGTTCTTCCCTTTCGGGGAGGGGTTTACCCCTCCCCCTACCCCCTCCCCACTGACCTGGACAGGGGGGGTGCGATCGGTCAGATCGCCCAATATCGACACCCCTCACGAGGATCGTGGCTCCTGGGGGGGGGGGCTGAAATTTAGGAACCCCCCTTTGTTGAACGATCTCCTCCAAGATGGCTTCGAGAGACGTCTTGGGCCCCCTCTTGGGCCCTGCGCGCGGGCGGGCGGAGCGCCGCCCGCCCGTCTGCAAAGCCCAAAAGCCCACCAAAACGTTCGAAGACACTTCCAATACGCCACCATGGAGGAGGACGAGGCGGATGGGGAGGAGGAGAAGGGGGAGGAGGAGGAGAGGGAGGATGGGGGAGAGGAGGAGGAGGAGAAGGTGGAGGAGAAGGCGGAAGAGGGGAGGGTAACAGCTGCCGACCATCGGCGCTCTTCGTTCGAGTGCCTGGTGTAGGATGGGCTGGTGGGGATATGCGAAGCGTCAATCATTGCTTGTGGACTTGAGCTCGGTAGTGTCGCGAGGGGGGGCGATGTACCCATAACTGCTTGCGAATGTGAGCTCAGCCAGAGGAGCGCCGCGTCGCCATCCCCGCCCTCGACGTTCCCCCCCCTGCAATCGCATTCCCATTCCCCTCCCCCCCCGTCCCCCCTTCTCCTCGATATCCCAGTGAGCGCCCCTCCAACTCCTCCCCGCTCTTATCGCCTTGCGACCCGCAGCACGTGCCTTAGGCTCTGGATGGCGAAGCGGGCCGCCAGCTCCCCACCCGTCTTTAAGGACATCCGCATTTACATCCGCAGCAAGCAGTTCAGTCCCCCTCGGCGCAGCCCAGCGCCCGAGATGTCCGACGGTCCCCCGCCCATGGCGCGCGCTGCCTGCGGCAGCGAGGAGCACTACACGTTCGACCCCGAGTGCTCCGCCCTTTCGAGACCGTGCGGGAAGCACGGGGGCATCCGCCCCGACGGGCGGCCCGTCGACCCCGTGGACCTCGGCGGCTCCACCGATGAGGAGGACCAGGCCCCCACGAGCCAGAGCGTCGGCATGTTCGCGGAGACGTTGCCTGGCATGCCCGCATTCGCCTCCGTCGGAGCCACGCCGATCGAGGGGGGGGCGGCATCGGCTCGCGACTTCATCCAGCGCCGCTGCGCAGAGGTCGCGGCCGCGCGGGCCGCCGGGAGCGACAGTGCCGCTGAGGAGGTGAAGCCCGCTGGGGAGGTGACGCCCGCTGAGGAGGTGAAGCCGCCCGCCAGGAGCGGCGGCGGCGCCGGCGCCGCTGAGGAGGTGAAGCCCGCTGAGGAGGTGACGCCCGCTGAGGAGGTGCAGCCGCCCGCTGAGGAGGTGACGCCCGCTGAGGACGTTGGAGGGCGCCCGCGCTCGGGGGCGCGCGGGCAGCCGCTTCGGAAGGGGGGCGAGGCGGCGCCGCCCTCGCCCGCGCTGGCGGCGCGATGTGGCCGCGCCCGCGCCCGCGCCCATGCGCCCGCGCGCACGCTCGCCGACGGAGTGGCGGCCGCGCGGGATCGCACGCGGTCCCCGATCTGCTCTCCGACGGAGTCGGCTGCCCCCCCGACGCCCAGCACCGTCGCGGGCGCCCCGCTGGGCGTCGCTGGCGATCCCACTCCCGCAACTCCGCTGGGACAGACGGGCGCGCCTCCCCCCGCGCCTCAGCCCCAGGCAGACATCGAGAACACGTTCGCACAGGCGCTGGATAATCTCTCGTCGCTTGGCGATGCCAGCGCCTGGGACCGCGGGAGGGCCGCAGTGTCGGCATTGGCGAAGATGCTGTCGCAGGTCAGGGAGGGTGACGACGCGGCTAGGTTGGCCGAGCTCGTGATGATCGCGCAGGGCGAGGTGGCCTGCAGGGATGCCAAGCGCCACGAGGCAGCCGACGCAGCGGCAGGCATGACAGTCCAGCCGCCCCAGAGGCTGCAGATCCCTGTGCTGGCCCCAGTGGCAGGCGCGACCGCTCCCGCCATGTCGGCGGCGCCCGTGGTCGCGCCGACGCCCCCGCAGCCCGCGGCCATCCCGACGCCGAAGCAGCACCTGGCGGCGCACGGCATCATCCCAGAGCCCGCGTCCTGGGCCGACGGCAGGAGGAGACGCTGGAAGTCGGAGCTGCTGCAGTCGCCACCGAGTGATGATGAGGAGGAGACGCCGTGCCTGCCCCAGTTTCGAGCTGGAGCCGAGGCGGAGACCCCGTGCAAGCTGGGGCCATGGCATTCGACGTCAACGGAGGTCTACCCGCCCGCTCGCGGGCTCAAGGTGCCGCCGCCCGCCGCCCCCGTGTCCAGGGTCGATCGGCTCCTCCAGCGGATGTCCCCGATCGAGGACGTCACGGAGACCCCCTTCCCCGCGGTGTACGACGCTGCCAAGGACAGAACGGGGCTGGGGGTCAAGGAGAGGATGACTAGAATATGATGAGGATGACTCCCCTCAGCCTAAGCTGAGGAGGGTGGGGATGATGTGGTAGTGCCGACGATGACGACGACCACGACGACGACGGCGGCGACGACGACGACGATGGCGACGACGGTAGTGACGACGACGGTGAGTTGAGTAGGGTAGGGGTCAACGACAACGGGGGGATGTGCCATCTCTCCCCCGCCTCCCGCGAGGACAACATTCCCTCGCAGGTGGTGGACGGCATCACGGCAGAGGACATCGCCACGGCATGCCGCTTCAAGGCCAGCCCCGTGGCCACTGCCGTGCCAGCCAGCTCGCTGCTGGGCAAGGTGTCCCCCGCAGTCGGCGGCGGCGACGTCGCTGGTGGCAGCGCCCCAGCGGTGCTGGACGTCAAGGTGCCAAGCGACGTCATCTACAAGCAGGACTTCAGATAGTAAAAGCACTAACCCTCATTGAGCCCACGACGTTGACGCGTGTTCGGTGAGCTATGGGCGTTAACGCCCACAGTTCACCGAACGTTTGTCGACGCCCCACGGGCGCTGGTTCGTGCCAGATATGGCACTGGTTCGTGCCATATATATATGTATATATAGATGGCACGAACCAGTGCCATGCATGGCGGGACGTCAACGAGTTATAACTCACCGACGCCCCGCCATGCACTGGTTCGTGTATCCCTCAGGACGTGCTGGACGAGCTCAGCCGCGCGCAGCGCGCTATTCAGATGGGTGCTGACGCGCTGTGCGCGGATGCGCTCCAGGACAAGCTGAAGAACTTCTACGGCCTCGGTGTGATGAGCAACCTTCGGGCGCTCCAGCACGGCGACGCAGGTCCCGATGGCCATGGCGATGCGTCTGCCGACGCCGCTGAGAAGCGGGCGAAGAAGATGGCGGAGGAGGAGGAGATGTGGGAGGAGCTGAAGCGCGGCAGTTTCATGTTCCAGACGCGGGGCGAGAAGATATCGTCGATGTGGAACCGCGCGCTGGCGGCCGACAGCAAACTCAAGGAGGACTACAAGAACACGCTCGGCCTCCCGAACAAGGCCAAGTTCAGGGCCGACTGGGGCGAGAAGCGCTACAAGCAGTTCTGGGAGAGGCGCTCGAAGACGACGACGAACAGAAAGTCGGAGAAGCTGAGTGGGAAGTACCTGGCGCTGGCCAGGATCGCCCACAAGGAGGGGGGAGGGAAGGACGGGCTCAAGGCGGCCACCACGTACGCGACGAATTGTATCATCCTGGGCAAGCACTGGGTGAAGTGGGACTCAATGACGAACACGCTCAAGTTCTACTACGTCGAGCACGAGATCTCGGACGAGTACGTCACGGCCTGGACGGCGCATGAGGAGTGGTGCAATGCGCCGCAGCCTGTCCAGGACGCCCTCTGCCTCGAGGGCGGCGGCGCGGCAGGGCCATCAGCGATGACGGCTGACGGCAGCGATGGTGCATCGACGTGCGGCGGTGCACTCGCCAAGGCGAAAGCCAAGGCGAAGGGCAAGGCTGCTGCAGTCATGAGGAGGCCCGCTGCAGCCCATCGCGATGATGAGGCGGATGAGGAGGCGGCGCTGGTTGACACGACGGCGCCCGAGGCGGGGGAGCTTGAGGAGGCGGGGGGCGCCTGTGAGGAGGCTGGTGATGACGACGACGGCGAGCCCCCAGTCAAGCGAGAGAAGACGTCCCTCGACGTCGCGATGGCCGACTTCAAGAAGGAGAAGTCGTTGTTCCGCGGGCTCATGCAGCAGACCTCCACGACGTTGGACCTCATCGAGTCGAACTCGGAGCGGGACTGGGCCAAGAACGAGCAGAACCGCGGGGCGCTGGAGAGTGCCCGGCAGACGGTGCCACGGGCATGAAATCGACCCCGCTGGGCGACGATGCGCGACCACTCGATCGAGCCAATCGTGGCGCTCGCCCGCCTCCGCCACCTACGAACCACCTCTCCCCCACGCTTGCCCTCCCCTGCCTGCCCAGCCCCCTCCCGCTGGGCGGCGTCCGTCCTTGGCCGCAGCGCCGCGACGGGGCCGAACGCGAGCTCGCCGATCCTGGGCGAATCGGGGGGTTAGCGAGGGGATGTTCGGGACTGTTTATGATATTTGTGTTTGTGTATGCATGTGTGTTGTTGTGTGTGCATGCGTGCGCGTGTGTAAGTGTTCGTGTGCGTGTGTGTGTGTGTGCGTGGCGTCGTAGGCGCGCTAATATCTGACGGGGGTAACGGAGGAGGAGAGGCGCGCGCGGGTGGGGTGTCCGCCAGGTGCAGACAGCGGTGAACAGCGCTGCGGCCTTGAAGGAGCTCTTGGCCGTCAACGACTACGGTGACATGAAGGCCCGCATCGGCGCGAGCCAGCTGGAGGTGAACTTTCAGAAAGGGGCCACGGCGCTGAAGGAAGGGGGGCGATGAGGAGGAGGACAAGACGATGACACACGAGGGAGATGGTCGATGAAGACATGTAATGCCGAGGATGATGATGCAGATGGGGATGTCTGCGAGATGTGGTATGGGGTCGAGGAGGGGGGGTACGAGATGAGGGGTGATGGTCGAGGGTTGATGAGAGGGGGAGCGGGATCAGGGGTGGCGGTAATGGGGAAGATGATTGTGAAATGATAGAGAGTAGCATGTCAGGGGCGGGCGCGCCTTCTCCTGCTGGCTCCCAGGAGCCGCTCAAGAACCTGCAGACGGCGGTGTCGAGGATCCTGCGCATGCACAAGCAGACGCTCGAGCAGATCAAGAAGCAGACGAGCAAGGCGGGCAAGCGGCAGCGCCAGTCAGCCTGAGCCTACCCTTGCGGGACGAATGAAGGGTTTGGAGGGTCAGAAAGGGAGGATGTAGATGAAATGTTTGGAGGGTCAGGAAGGGAGGATACCTTTGAGTCCGCTTGGTGCAAGCCAGAGCATGTTAGTGATTGGCCGCACTCAGTTTTCGATGTGAGTGCGGCTCGATCGAGCTCGGGTGCATTTGCTAGCGCGTTTTTGTGTTCTGGTTGTCGTCAGTCGGCGTTTCTCTTCAAAAAACAGCCTCATACATTGTTAAACGTGTGTGGAACTGTTTTGTGAAGAGAAACGTCCGGTGAAAGACCGGTGAACGGACCGGTGAATCACATGACCGTTCACCGGTGAACGAGCGGTGAAGGGAGATCGCTCCCGCCCGATACATCCCCGAAAAACGCATAGTTCACCGGTGAACGAGCGGTGAACGGTGACCGGTGAACGACCGGTGAACGACCGGTGAACGACCGGTGAACTCACAGGTGACATCGCCAGGTGTGTTTGTACATGTGATTGCGTTGACTTTTTAGATGCAGAGTGCGCCCGAGCTCACAGTTTGCAGTTGAGTTTGCAGCTGAGTTAGTGCACATCATGATGTGCACGGCGCTGGCGAGATGGCGCCTCAATCTTTTGGCATAGGCCCCTGGCTGGGTGCATTTGCAGGCGAGGTGCAGGGCTGCACCAGCGAAATGTATGCTTCGGGGCAGTGCCGTTCGGTGCTCCAGCAGCGACGCGACTGCTGGAGTCGAGAGATCGGGGGCCCGCCTGGGCCGACGTTTGCACTGGTGGCGGGAGGGTTCGAGGGGCGATGAGAAACGTACATCGGTGAGTGCTTTAGGTACCTACTGCACATGATTAACGTGTCTGCACATGCGTGGCTATGCAACCATACGCGCATGCATAACCGTACGTGCTCACACCATACGTTTCACATTATGTCATGTACTTGTGTCTACCGAAGCACACGCGATGCGACGTTGGATTGTCAGCGACTGGTACGTTCGAGCGATCGAAATGCGATGCGTCAATAAATCGTACACGACGTCGAAGTTTCGGCTCAACTTCTTCCGTAGGGGGGTCGTTTCGCCAATCGAACATGATGCACCAACCGCCACGACGACGACGACGCCATGGTGTCCCCGATGCGAGTGCCCCCGAGCTCGATCCAAGACAGGCGGGGTCGAAACTGTTCGATCTGATCTTGGACATGTACTCGCAGTGTGCTCCAGTGTCTGCAAAGGATGTGTGCGTCATGTGTCACTATTTACACTTGGCTGGTGTTGAGGGGGCGTACTTCGAGGATTATGGCATGGCCCCTGGGCACCAATCTGGCAAATACAAGCATCACTTGAACAGAATGTTGCCAACGACGTGCCCAACCACCCGTGTAACAATGCCGTCATACGTTCGTGGTCATGCAGAGCAGGGTTCCAGGAAAGTACCGTTTACACTCTCATACGCATCAGTAGCTAAGGAGATGTCCCTGACACCACAAGCACTTGCTCTTCTAGAAAACGGAGACTACGAGAACCCGAATTCCCCACTTAACCTACCATGTTACAGAGACAACGTACTGACGAAGACATGTGCAGACGAGACTGGGAGGTTGCCGCTGCCTCTTGCCGTCTATGTGGACGGCGTGCGGTTCACGGCCCTGCAGGCTGGGCGTAGTGACAGCATTCTCGTTGCGACGTGCGTCAACCTCTTGACGAATAAACGTCATGTCATCGGTGTTCTGCGTCAGCTCGACATGTGCAGGTGCGGGTGTAATGGGTGGTGTTCAGTATTTGTATTTCTTTCGTACATTGCATGGGTGATCGGCGCACTTGTTCAAGGGAAGGTGCCCGATACGAAGTGGGACGGTAGTGATTGGGCTGACGGGGAGGAGCGAGGGGCGATGAATGGGCAACACGACTTCGGGTTCAGGTGCATGTTGTTATACGTTAAGGGCGATTGGAGCGAATTTGCAAAAACGTTTGGTTTGGGATCGCGGGGGAAGATTTTGAACCCGTGCCCCATATGTACGACCGACAAGCCGAATATGCACGCGTGCTACGATTGTATGAACACTGGAGGCGTGATGTTCACAGAGCGCACGTTGCTGGATTACGAGCGCGCGTGCAAGAAGTGCGAGATTGATGTGCGAATCGATTCGGAAGACGTTCGCATTCGGGTTGTACGAGCACTGGTATATTACAAGGCGAAAAAGGGCGCGGGGAACCACGGGCGGGCCTTGAAGCACGATGTCGTTGATCTTGGCCTTCGTTGTGGCGACCGCCTCGAACCTCACGTAGGGATGGTAGACATCAGAAACATCGATGAGGTAGGGTTCAGAGGCGTCGCTAAATTTTGGAGGGTGCACAAAGACGAGAAACACCGACTGATGGACTCGGTGGCTCACCGCTGCCCTTTATTCAAGCAAGAATGGGGGACGAGCCCTGCAACAACGATGGCCATCGACAGTCTGCACACAGTCTACTACGGCCCCATCACTCGGTGGGCCAGCACGGGATTGTGGAGATTAATTAAATTGAACCCATGGAAATACACAGGGGACAAAGACACGGTTTATACTAAGTGTTGCCAACGCATAGAAGCTGATATGTTCACGTGGTTCGATCAGAAACAGATTGCACATGACCGTCGCCTGGGAGGGCTGACAATTAAAATGCTCGGTTCTGACCGCGGAATGATGGACGACGGGGCCCGCCTTCACCCAGGCACCATGTTAAAAGCGAAGGCTGCTGAATCGAGGGTGCTCATGGATTTCACCAGGTGGGAATTGGAAGGTAAGGGGGCTGGAATGCCACTGCGGGAGCCTCTTTTAGCTGCTGCGACTGCCATGGACGAGTGGCTTGACGTTTTCGAGAACGCAGACACTGTGCTCACCGCCCCCCAGTACCAGAAAGCAATGGACAGTTGCAAGAAAGTTCTTATATATTCAGCAGATGCTAAAATCGAGTTCGTGCCAAAGCACCACCTGTTCGCCCACGCGACTGTCAGGAACATGGACGAGCGACATATCTCAACGTGACACGGGCGGAGGGGACATGATGTCATGGCTCTCGGGTGGTACGCGGGCGACGGCCCAGCGCTGACCGATAACCATAGCAGCATGCCCCCTCGCCCCCGTGCTACATGATGAGGCATGTTGCCAGGAGCAACTGGATGGGCAATGTAAAATTCTATTCCACGTTCATTGACGAAACACTGAACCTTACGCTCAGGAACTGCGCCCAGCGGGCACATAGGTTGACGTTCGAGGAATCGATTTTTCAATGTGTGCAGATTCAAGCAGTACTAAATCCCAACAGCAACTTTTTTGGGTCGGTTGAGTTTGCGAACCGGCGGGCTGCGGACCCATGGCGTCCGTGGGCCTGAACAACGGCGTCCCCGAGTGGATCGTGGATATCTGCCCGAAGGCCTGCCATTCTTCATTTTCTTAGGGAGGAGCGGGTGCATCGGGCATGGGAGATGGGCGTTCTGAAGACAGTGGAGATCAGAGGCATTTGAGGCCAGCCTGGAGGGATTACGGGGAGGGGCGATGAAAGGAGGTAGAGGGCTGGCGGGATAGACTATGCAGGGATGGAATATGGGGAGAGGAGAAGAAGGACGGGATAAGCGAATCATCGCGGCAACGCAGTGAGAGATACGCGATATGGAGACAGCGGGGAGCAACGGTGTGGGAGATCAGCCAGGATGGAGAAACAGACAAGGTACAAGATCAGCCCTACGCTCCCCTCCTGCAGGAGGGGGGGCATAGCGCTGATGCGTGCACTCACCTAGTTGATACATCCCGCCCGAAACATCATTATCCATTGCCTCAGTCGCTCTGCGCACTTCCCCATGCTCAAGTTATGCAGTCTCATCCCGTCTCCACTGCATTGCCGCGCTGCCTCCTCCGAGGGCCCAGTGGACTCCTTGACGCTGAACGCCTCGAACTCCGCCTGGCTCGTGGACCAGTGCAGGCAGCAGGCGCTGCGAATGCATTGTGATGACTTGCTCTCGTCTGGCTAAGTGTGACACTGCAACGTGCGTTCGAATCCTCGCCGTGTCCAGGTAGGACGGCAGTGCACCATGTGTCGCCATTGTCCATGCCCCCGTGTCTGTGCATGGCGACAGCGCGCGCTGTGTCGCCGTGGTGCCGCCAGGATTGTCGAGTTCGGATATTCTCGGGCCTCTGGGGGGGTCGACTTATGAACCAGAGCGCTCAATGAACAAAAAATGTTAACTCGTTTTGTCTCGGACAAGCCCGCATCTGCATTGCCCCCCGCGCGCGTGCGCACCGAATGTGTCGGGCACGACCCTAGGCAACCGACTGTTGTTCCCACCCCCGTGCATCACCGCCCCCCCTCCCAATCTCGTAGGTTCAGTCTCCTTGACCCCCCCCCAGCTGAGCCGCCCTGCAAACGCCAGTCTAGATCCATCTATCCCACTCGCTCGCTCTCTCTCTCTCTCTCTCTCTCTCTCTCTCTCTCTCTCTCTCTCTCCCTCTCTCTCTCCCTCCCTCGCTCTCCATCGCACGGTATATCCCCCTCGCTATGCCCCCGTCGCGCCCCCCCTCTCTCCATGCACACTCTATATCGCGCCGCATCTCCCCTTGCATATGTGTGTAGATCCCCGTCTATGTCTGCGTAGCTAGGCCCTTCCTTGTCTGCGCCAACCATGCGCAGGCGCACGCGCGCGCGCCCGTGCATTGACATGTGCATGCACACACGCACACATATACATGTGTATACATTTTTATATATATATATGTATGTATATTACACATATGTAAATACATACATATACACGGACGTGCACACGCACGCACATGCACATTCACATATACACATGGGCTCTTATGTACACATATACATACAACCACACACGGACATGCACATGCACACACATTGTCGTTATATGACGCGTGTTGGCGGCCTTCGGGGCGCCAACGCACCGATATCGTTGGGCTGCGGCGCGTGGCGCCGTTAGAACTCACCACAAGTGCTTTGCAAGTCTTGACG